GTTTTTCACAGTTAGGGACCACGAATTCATTGGAATTAATTATCCCATTGGGTCGAGCGCATATGCACCTTCTCCAGTGGTTCTTGCACGACCAGTGAAACCACTAACAGGAACCTTTAACCTCAAGTGTTCACTTGACTCCTTCTTTACTCAAGCATCTGTATTGATGGCTGGAATTTATTCATGAATTTATGTCAATAACTTTGGTATTAAACTGTACATTATAATTCAAATTTTAGTACTATGTATTATTCAATTTCATAATTTAAAAGCAAATATTAAAAAAATACAGATAAACATTGATTTTAGTGTGTCATGTGGTATGTTGAATGCAGCACTGGTTGAAATTAGATGTTTTTGAAGTCAAAATACTAAATCTATAGTTTCGTACAAATTAGAAACTCAAATTACTGATACTGACAAGCTAGAATATAAAATAAGACTCTCTTATTTTTTTAAGTTGCTGAGATATTGCTCATGTAATAAATGAAACACAGTGGCACCCTGCCCACCTCTTTCCAATTTTGTAAACACTCCCTTATACACACTTACTTCTATATATGACATTAATAACCAATTGGAAGCACGGAATGTCCCCATAGTGGTTTCTCAGCCATTTTAATGGGCTTGGTGCCATTTCTTTCTTTTGAACCAATATTTCAATGAGATAGGGTGTGTCTTTAATCTGCTTGAAATTTCATATTTGTTTAGAGTAAAATACATTTTAGTAACTAAGCTTCATAAATTATAGTGGAATTCTATGGTATCGATATAGTAATTTATGATTTTTTAGTTATTGAAATGTATATATAAAACCTAAAATAAAACATTTTGTTTCATATCCTCCATGTGCAAAATTTTTAAAGGCTTAGCAACCTATGTAAGCAGCAACCGAGTACAAAGGTCGTTACTAGAACAGATAATTGTTTGCTTTACTTCTTTAGTTACTGTTCTATGTTTTAAGAAAAATGAGTTTAAGAACTTATTTCAAAATAGCAATAATCTATATACATATATAATGTATAATAATTGAAATGTGACTATTTTACAAAATACTAGTCTACTAAATTTATTTATTTCTGTTAGCTACCAAATGTGAGATTAAAGTATACTATGAGGTGGGGGTGTTAGTACTGGCCCCATTATTTTTGACAGGCTTGATGCTAGTCTCATAATAGTTAAAACTACCTTATAACATCCCATAATAGTTGAAACACACTATAACATTCCATAAAGTTTTGTTGCTAAGCAATGATGTTTATTGTTGATCATTACCAAAAAAGGAGCATGAAAGCATTGTTGATAGTATAACCACCCATAATAGTTAAAAAACACTCTATAACATCCCATAATAGTTACAAACTATTGTATAAAACCCATAATAATGAAAACACACTATAAAATCCCATAATAGTTTTGTTGCTAAGCAATGGTATATATTGTTGATCATTACCACAAAAGGTGCATGAAAGTGTTCTCGACAGTATAACATCCCATTTTCTGCCTCTTTGTTGGTCAAGCTTGATTTTGCAAAATTTATTTTCTTAGTTGGCTATGAAATGTGAGGTTCTGGTATAAAATGGGGAGGGGATGATAGTACTTGCCACGTCATTTTTGACAGGCTATATGTTAGTAATAGTTAAAAACCACTGTAGCATCCCATAATAATTAAACAACCACTCTATAACAGCCAATAATACTTAAAAAACACTATAACATAATAGTTAGAAAACACTATATATCATCCCATAATAGTTTAAAAACCACTATAACTTATAATAGTTTAAAAATCACTCTATAATATCCCATAATAGTTAAAAAAACACCATAACATCCCATAATAGTTAAAACACTAACCTTCCACAGCAGACACATTTCTTTTCTGTGTGGTTTTTTGCATAAAAAGATGCGCATGCTCGTACATGAGTAATAATGTACAGAAAAGAAAGTTACACACTGAATTACATACCCAATGGTTAAAAGCCTACAAATGAAAATGTACCACATAAAAAACCTTTTTTTTTATTTCAAAGCCTCGATTCTGTTCCTAGGACTGCTATCAGGCTAACTGAGCAAAATGCTAAATATAAGCTCTCAAATGAGTTTTACAGGTTAAAACATGCGAGTGTATTACAATGAAGATACTCTAATGAGTGTTATACAGTACTGTGTAAAAGTGTTAGGACAAAGACAAAAATTAGATTTCAGGCTACTTTCATAGAACAATGGAAGGTAAATCACAAGTAAAACATCAAAATTATATTAATCTTCATATTTAATACAACAAAAACTCAGTGTAAATGCTTGAGTTCAGCAAACAGTTGTGTGTTCTCTTTTGCTTTAATAACTGTCGACAGTCTTTCAGGCATTGTTGCAACATATTTAATCAAAGTGGAAGAAAATTACAACAACATTTTGTTAGACTTTGCTAAGAGTGAGTATAAAAGTGTCTGGAAAAATAGTTATTAATATTACCACAGTACACTACAGCTATACTGTAGTTGTTTGGTATCAAGAGATTGTCACAAGACCCTTTGAAACATTAGAGTATTTTTAACTATATAATAGCGTAACGCATTATACACACACACATAAACAGTTATTACACTACACATAACACCATAGTTTCTAATATGTATGAATATACACATGTTTATTCAAAAACTGTCATTGGTTGCCATTGTGTCACTCATCTACTAACACCACTGTTTGAAATGCCTGATTAGAAGTACATGTTTTGAAGGTGGAAAAATGCCAATCACCTTGTATACTTGTGAACTATGTGAATACCTTTGGACTATGATACGCAACCATGGTATAGAAGTACTTTTGTGATGTCACAAAACTTTGTTTCATTCATTACTGCCATATTAGACATCAGACATTTTCATTATAGTATTCAACAACAATGTACATCTGTACAAGATTTGGTAAAACTTTATGTGCTGTTATTTTTTCACCTAAGTGGAGTGTTAAGTACTTGATGTCTAGTATGGCAGAATAAACTATAGACCACATCACTTTATTGACATCAGTGCAAGACCATTATAAGAATGACTAGACCATGGCTGCAATATAACCACTTTGTAAAGTCCCAGAAAGATTCATTCACAAAGAAACACAAACTGGTTTTCTTAGTAGAAAGTCCAAGATTTGGAAGGAAATATCAACTAGCTATACCAAGGAAGAAAAACTTGAAGGAAATAAAATTGTAGCTCAAAGGTAAAACAGAATAGATGTTTTTTCAGGCATATTTATCTAATTTATATGACCAAGTAATTAGCATGCATTTATATTTCTGATTCTGTAATGTTCCACGTAGAAATATTATAAGTATCAATGATTCTAGAAACCTGTATTCAGCAATACAAATGTCTAAGTGCATAAAAGCATAGTTAACAATATCTTAATGGAATTTTTAAGTAATCATTTTATAAAGTATTTGTTTGTACTGGATTATTTTAGCCTAATGCAAAAGATATGCAAAGCTTGTAAAAATAACTTTGTCATTAAATCTATTGCACTCAAGGTTTTTATTTTTGCCCTAAGGTTTGAAATCTCTGGTAGATATACTTCTTTAAAATATTAAAATAAAAAACTTACACTTTTCTAAGTCATAATATTGCACACATGTTCAATCAATATATTTGGATAGTGAATAAAACATAAAATTTGATCAAAATTAAAGTAATAACTTGAGTTTTTAAATTAATATTTAATTAAGCCTATGTATTTATACATAGTTGTTTATTAATTCTCTTGTTATCAGAATGGCAAAGATTTTTGTAGAGATTTGTTCAAACTAATATTTTCTTAACTTTGCTTTTTCATCCTAAAGAAAAGCATGAATATGAGTCATTGTATATATCACAGCTTACTTTATGTAATGAAAAATTCTATTGATCAATGATCTTAATCATTTAGAAGTTTGAATATGACTTTTACAACTTGAATAAATGCACTGTTGTAAATAATCTTACACTTACAAACATACAATCATAAGTTTAAAAAAAATAAATTTGAACTGCCACAATTCATGATTGAAGTGGTCATTTAGGCCTGTGGTTCCCAAGGTAGTGGGCATTTCCTTTTTGGGGTTTGCCATACATGACAGGTGGTTTGCCAGGCTTGGTTCCCTATGAGGCTGGACAATTTCAATCAGTAAGCTCACGTATCATTTTTGTATATAAATGTGTGTTTGTATGTAATTCAAGGGAATGGAGGGGCACATACTGTATACAGTGTGTGTGGGAGGCTTTGACCAAAGTACTTGGGAACCACTGATTTAGTCTGGCAGCTGGCTTTTAAAGAGCACTGTAGTTTACAGTATATATACTGCAGAGTTTGAGTAGTAGCTATACATATGATAATTTAAAATTATGTTTCAAAAAATCAGTGATGTTCATGTTTAACATACTAACATTTTAAAGATATTTCTGTAGAAAGGTATTAGGACAGATCTAGTTTTATTGATTTAGAATTTACTAAAGCCTGTTTTGCTGCTTTTGAATATGCACGGAACTCTGCAGTTGAAAAGGAAGCCTGATATTCTATAAATAGTTTTTACTTTCAGTTCTTAAAATTTGTTTGAAGTTTTATAGATTATCAAGAGTCTTGAGTGATTATTAGAAATGGTGAAAAGCAATATAACATGTCCTTTTCTATTTTCTAAAAGTGGTAAACTAATTTTTGGTCACTGGTTCGTAATGGAAGCACAAGTGGTGTTCATATCCCTGGATTATGCTCTAGATATTTAGATTTCCTGTTCTCATGCATGTTTTTAACACTTACATATATTTGATTGCCTTAGTAAACTTGCATATACCATGATATTAATACATAGAACACTTTCTTTTTAGCTTGAAATGTTGAAAGTAGAGTCATTTAATATGAAAATATATTATTTCTTTCTTGAGGCAACTTATTTGTATGATTTCATATGTGAAGTTTCTAATGTATGTGTAATATTTAGAATAAATCATTAAAAAAATTATTTACAGGTTAGTGAAAATTCAAAACCTCAAGGGAATTTTCCTGGAGAAGAAAAAAGTAAAGATAATTTCAAGAAAAGATGGAGAGGAACAAGAAAAAAGTCAAAATCTCAAACACCTACATCACGTCAAGCTAATTCTGCTCAAAAAAGTATAAACACTGTTGGTTTGTGTCGAATTAAGTATACCGAGAAAAAACAACAAAATAAAGAAGTCCAAAAAGTGATTAGAAAAACAAGACCTTGGACCAAAGAGTGCAGGTTTAAGGTAAATAATGTTTTTTATGTCATTTTGTCTTAAACTTTTATATTAATAGAAGTAATACTGCTAAAAAAAATCAGCCAACATGGACTGGTTAGTATGTTGTCAGTTTAACCCTATCCAGATGGGCCATGGGGTCAAAGGCCATGTCATTGCATTTGTTGACTCGCATTCAAAATTTTATTGAACTGCTATTTCATGAATTTATGTTAATAACTTTGATATCAAACTGTACATTATAATTCAAATTTAAGTATTATACACTACTTAATTTAAAAGTAAATATTAAGAAAATAACTTTTAATACAGTATGTGTATCTTCACACAATTTGGTAGACTTTCATGAAAAATTACAAGTCTTTTGTACCCAAAAAGTCAGATTTTTTAATGAAGTATTTTTACTAAAGATTCATTTGTGAATATATCGAGTGTTTTGTTACTATTTTGAGTGCAAAATGAATTTCGTGTTATGATTAAAAATATTATTCTTCGTCCCAAAAATGTCAAATTTCATTTGCATAATCTCTAAAACTTCCTAAATACATTTCAGACAATTTTTCTGTAAAACTTTATATTTTACTTGTTATTTTCTCTATCATAACTCAGTACAAGGTTGTTCAAACTGACCTTGTAACTACCAAAATACATCTAAATTACCCTTTTTTCTTTCTAGAATGACTTCAAATTGTAGCATGAAACTACCTTTGTTTATCCTAAATAGCTTCAAACTCGTAACAGTATACAACTATTTATACTTATATTTTATTGTTTTATTGCCCTTTGAACTGTGTCTGTTCATGCAATTAGAAGTTGTAAATCACTTGGGGAACACAGGGCTCGTGTTATGTTGTTGAACTACATTACTCACAAGCTACTACAATCTTCTTGTGTGAGTGCCTGATGAACATTTTTTATTATATTATTATTATTTTATGTAATAAAACTTTATCTAACCTAAAGAGATTCCTATTTTTATATTTTAGTTACTATTATAATGATAAATAAAGAATACACATGTAAAACAAGAAATAAATTACTTACCTGGACCTTCTTTTTTTATTTGCTACCAAATAATACACCAAAGAACATAGAATAATAACATGCAAAAAGCAGACAATTTCCTCTAACAATCACAATTTTTCTAACTTTCTAACTATGCGACAAGAGTGATTACAAATTTATACAAGCTAGTTGATATGTTTCCATATGAACAAAGCTTGTACTAAAAGAGAATTTGACAATTCTCTGTTCAGAAAATAATGTAATATAATACATCATTTGATAGATAAAAACTTATGATTTTTGTTGGTTACAAGGAATATAGTTGATATGTTTCCATATGAACAAAGCTTGTACTAAAAGAGAATTTGACAATTCTCTGTTCAGAAAATAATGTAATATAATACATCATTTGATAGATAAAAACTTATGATTTTTGTTGGTTACAAGGAATATAGTATTCGGTGTAATAGAGAACTATTAACAATTCCTGAAAGAGACATGACAGATGGGTGTGGCAAGAAGGGGCTGATTTTCTATTTGATGGCTCTGTAACCAAACAAGATTGAAGGCTATGAAAATTATGGTTTGTCTGATAATGATGATTTGATTGTGAGTAAGTTACACTAAATATTTTACTTATTGGAGGGGTGGTGCATAAATTAGAGAAGAGGGGATGCCAAGAGAAAAATATCACATTTCTCATTCTAGGGGAGCTCAGGATTTTTAAAAATATTCCTCATAAAATTAAGAACTTAAAACTTGTATACTATTAAAATATGGATTATTAGCTACAATTTTATGCTATAATAATTGGTATAATATATGCAAAAAGTAAATTAATTAAATTTTGAATGCAAGTCATTAAAAATCTTGTGATGTGCAGTAAAGGATGCCCATGCAGAGAAGGTTAATAATTATCAGAAGTGAAGACAGTGTTTTTGTGTCAGGTATGGTAGGTAAGGAAGTAAGCCTTAAAACACAAGCTTCTGTGTGTGTGTGTGTGTGTTGTGTGGTGAAGGCTTGGCATAGAGAATGAAAATGAAAACAGTTTGGAATATCAAAGAAAGGTGTACATTATTTATTGTGATGTGATATAAAGAAAAAACATAAAGGGCTCGAAGTTAATGTTGGCAAACTAACATATTAGTGGTTAGTGTTGTAGTTTTTCTTGTAAAACTTAGAAGACACCAGAAAAAAATTGCTTGTGCACATTTAAGAAGGAAGTTTTGCATATTTTACTGTTGAATATCAATACTCCTTTGATACTTGTGTTTCAGTCATACGTAAGGGGTGTTGCAAAATAAATCACACTTTTTTCCCCGAGAGCATAACAAAGTAAAATAAGATTGTAATTCAATCAAAAAAGTAATTCTAAGTATCAGTATCGCTTGATTGGGCTACCATTGTTCTCATGCACGAGTTTTAAAAATTGCTTGTGCACATTTAAGAAGGAAGTTTTGCATATTTTACTGTTGAATATCAATACTCCTTTGATACTT